TCATTCACGTTAGGTTGGTGTTGGTCACCCCTGGGGTGAAACAGCAATATGCAGGTGGATGTCAGGGAAATCTGCTTTGCAGCAATGAGAGTCCCAGTTTCCCTGGCTTGCATTATTGTCCCTGGCAGGTGCCTCTAACTTTGTTTCTGTTCTTCCACTAGTTGAAGATGCCCCGCCAGGGCCCAGCAGGTAATGCAGGCACAGGCAGCATTTACCTGGTCCAGGGGCACTGTCAGTCTAGACCCCAGGAGAGTCCTGGTGTCCTCTGTGTCACCAGATCATCCACTGGTAAGGTGCTCTTGGCAGGAAGGCTGCCTGCAGCTTCAGTTGCTACAGGGTGGAGCCTGGGGAATGTGTAGCCACCTGCCCTGGGAGTGAGGGAACTGATCCCAGGGACAAAGGCAGCTGCCTCCTCCCCCAATTCACATTGTTAATTGATTGGTGAGCCCAGAAATCTGCTGCTTTGGGAAAAGAGGGAAAGCAAAATAGTTTCTACTTTAAGAAACCCCTGAGTCCCAGTTATCTTATTTGTTAAGAAAAAGGGATTTCATTTTCTATGTATTTCCTCATTTAAATCTATACTTAGAGCCAAGGAAAAGTCTAGCGCAGATGGGGATCTACACCTTGCCTTGACCTTTATCCCAGAAGCCTTGCCCCTGAGGTAGAAAATCTCCTGTCCTTCATGGGCAGCTGTCCTAGTTTTCCCAGCTCCAAGTAACATACTATATGCACTCAATAAAAGTTAATTTTGCATGAGTGAATGAAGGAGTAATCCAATAGTATTTCTGAAGCATCCTTAGAGTCAATATGTAGCCTGTGCCTCATGATGCTTTTCTTACACAATCACTTTTACTTGCAGGTCACCTGGCAGGATTTCTTAACTTTATTCACCAGATCCACATTTTAGAGTTGTAGGTAGTTTTGTATGCACTCATACAAGCATTTATACTTTTCCCACTATTTGCCAACCACTGCTTCACAGTAGCTTACAATACATCAATAAACAAGAAAAATAATCACCTGCCTTGTGGGTGTCATTCTGATGAAGATAAGCAGACAACAAATAATAAATACAATAAATAATCCAGTAATTCAGAAAAAGTAGATATATGAGGGGGGCGTGGCAGAGTATCACAAGAGATCTGATGCAGGGACAGGGACTGACTGTGTCATCCTAACATCTTATCATAGAAACACAATTTCCAAAACCTGACTTGCATGTCTGCTGAAGAGCAACCTTGACTTTGATTTTCATTTAATAGTGTGCCAAAATATATTAAACGAGAATACCAAAATCCTAGAAAAATGCGTAAGTATTACTGAGCCTATATAAAATGAAATAAAAATGAGACTGCCTAGGATTCTTGGAAGTTATTGATTAGATACATAAATAACTTTTTATCCATTTTTTGTTTATAAAACTTCAGAGAATATGGAAAATATTTTAAATTGGTAGCTAACTGATATATAAAATGTAAAAATTACATGTATTTATAGAGTACCATGTGATGTTTTGATACACCAAATAAGGTACAATGTTTAAATCAGGTTAAAGACACCTACCTCCTTAACATTTCCCCTTTGTATATTGTGAAACTGTGTGGGCTCTTTTCTTCCAGCTTGATGAAATATACTATACCAATATACTATTACCAATACTCACCACCCTACTGTGCAATAGCATTCCAGAAAATGTTTGCTGTTGGTTTTTATTTATTTGTTTGTCAACGAGCCTTCATTTTATTTATTTATTTAAATGTGGTTTTGAGATTTAAACCCAGTACCTCACACAAGTTAGGCAAGAGCTCTGCTGTTTCTGTAGCACCAGGGACTGAACCCCAGGGCCTTTCACACTGGGCAAGGCCTCCACTGTAGGGCTATGCACACAACCCAGCAGAAAGCATTTCTGGAAGGAGTGAGAGAATAGGCTGAATCCTCCCCTGAAAGGATCAAATTTGAGCTACTTCCTTTCTTTTTTCTACTTGGTCTCATGTATTTTCAATTACAAAAGCCATGCATTCTCTTTGTAAAAAAAACAAAGAGCCATACTGAACAGAGGTTTATAAAATAAGTCTAAAGTCCTCAGAGAACTGAGAAGAATTCTCTTATTTTGACTTTCTAAAAGTATAAGTGTGTTAATATATACCTTTTTTTGTTTCAAAAACATAGAAATGCATATCTCCTTAACAGATATTTAATTCAGCACAATGCCTTATGGGCAGAGAAATGAAGGAGGTTTTCATTCTCTACTTTTTGTTCGAATGTTGACATTGAGTACCTTACATGTGTATACTTAAAATCTGATTAAAATGAGAGATTTGCGGTGATATTTTATAAACTAACCAGTGCACAGTATGATAGTTAACACCCAGTAAGCTGAATAGTAAGTACTAGTTTTTCCCTCCAAACTCATGAAAGAATGGAGTTTGAAACCTAGTTTGAATATCCAACTAATTACATGGGGATTGCCATTCGGAAAAATTCACACTTCCTCCCTCTATCAAAATGTCAAGAAGAAAGCACTTTTTCGTGACTCTACCCATGAGGACTTTGGTCTAATGCATCTTCCATAGTGTCTCACACAATCATCCAATCCAATGCCAACCAGGCTCTCTACCATCCCCAAGTCCTCAACTGTGGTGTCCTAATGCAGGCCAATGTCAAAAGCTAGCTTATCAGTTAAAGACCACCAAGTGGAGAGGCAGCACAGATACTAAAAACAGAACCAGAAGTGATCGCTCAACATTTATAGTCATGGTGGAGTCCTGTTCTGACAACTGATTTGATATGTGTCTCTCTCTGCTGCCTAGCCTTTTTCTAAAAATCTGGATCCCGCTGAACAAAGCCCAGGTCCTTAATGGCTGAGGCAGAACAGTCCAAGCACAGCATTCATTAGGAGCAAATGTGTAATTTTTCCCTCATAAAAGACTAAGGAAATGTGCTGTGTCACAACAAGACAAGTAACTGGAGATGTGTTTGTACAGCTCTCACTTCATGTGATATTCATGATCCCCAGTAGAGCACAGTGTGATCCGACAGTGAGAACTGGCTCCCAAGCAGAAATCGAAAAACTATTCAATTTTATCTTCTAGTTCTGTTTTCCTCTCCTTTTTTTTTTAATGCTCTGAAATCCATCTAGAATTGCTTGATTTTGGTGTGCAGGATGTCGTTTTACTAAATTGAAGTTTGATTGTGCATGTGTTTCCCTAGGAGGAATTGGTTTCTCTCCATACTATCATCACCTCCAACCCCTAGGTTTTCCTAACTGTATGGTCATGAAGCTTAGGGTCATTTTTCAGACCAGTTCCCAGCACCTTGTTAAGTGCTATAAGGAAGAGGACACAAAATGAATGTGGTATAAGCTTGCAGTACACCACCATCTGCACAAAGCACACTCAGAGCCAGTAATAACAGGACCATGTGAAGAGGACACAGAGATAGTTCTGGAGGTTAGGAAAGGCCAGGCCCCTTTCCACAAGCTCTGGACAAGTAAGGCAAAGGCTATAAATTTCCCATTATGGAACAGGGCCCATCCAGCTAAATGGTGGCCAGTGAGTGTGGGAAGGCAGGAGATGAACTGATTGGGGGGGGGAGTCAGCACCATAGGGATGTGTCATTTATGTGACCTGGAGACTCAGACTTGGCCTGCTGACTATGAAGCACTGGCTCTCATGGTTATAGAAGAGGCTTCAAGAGTCTCCAAACCTGTATTGAGTAAGCACAGGACTGTGTGTCTGACCTGGAGACAGGCAACCCACAGGCATCCCTGAAGTTCACAGGCTTCAGATATAAACTGTGTTAAATGTCTGTTTTTATTACAGAAAAAGTAACAACTTTACATTACTTAAAAGGGGGGGGTGAAGAGAGGGGAAAGGGTATAGTGGGTAGAATGGATAGTAGAATGAATCAGACATTATCATCCAAAGTACATGACTGGTGTGATGCTACATCCTGCACAACTAGAAGCATGAGAAATTATACTACATTTATGTATGATATGTCAAAGTACATTCTATTGTCATGTAGAATTAGAACAAATTTTTTTAAAGTAGATTAAAGAAAACATACCAATTTGCAGAAAAAATATGACTACAATATCTGCTCATAAATGGATCCACCTGGAGACAATCCTAAATGAAGCTAAGCCAGTTTTCAAAAAACAAAGGAAAAATGTTTAATCTGATATGTGGAAGCTAACCCACAACAGGAGGGATGATGGGAACAGAAGTGCAGTAGATTAGACAATGTGGAGTGGAGGTAAAGGAGGGGGCATAAGCAAAGGAAAGACAGTGGAAAAACTCTGATGCAGCTTTCCCATGTATATATGTGGAAACAACATAGTGAATCCCACCACCATGTACATCCTAATAATGTAACTCTAAATAGATAAAGTATAATTATACAAATATGGGCTAAATCAAAATGAATTTTATGGGCCAGGGTTTGGCTCAGTGGAGAGCACTTGCCTAGCATGTGTGAGGCACTGGGTTTAATTCTCAGTACTGCATATAAATAAAATAAAATAAACGGTCCATTAACAACTTAAAAAATAAAAAATTGGATTTAATAACTTAAAACAAACAATAAACGAAAACTAATAAAATGAAACATTTCCTAGGTTCTTTAAACATTTTGATAGCACTAAAATCAACTTAAAATGAATGGAAACGAAAAGGGCTTTTAAGAGTGTGTATATAATCTCTCCCACTTTTCTGCCATATGATGACACAACTATTGGGACAGACTTTTCCCGCTTCTTCACTACTAGAAATTAAAATTAAGAAATTTCATTATTTAGACGCTAATTATCTAACAATACCTTTGAAACCGGAGTTCTAAGATGAAACTCCATGGCTTCTGCTGGCAGGTAGGGGTCTGCGCGGGGGGGGGGGGGGGGGGGAATCTGCAGCAGAGAGGAGTCCTAGCTCTTCATGGCGGGCCATTCCATCCAGCTTTGCAGCAGACCCCAGCAGATCCTCAACCATTTCTTCTTCTTTCAGCAGTCTCATCTCTGGGAACCAAAGCAGGCTGGAACTTCCGTGGAATTCAGGCAGAACTCCTGAGGAACTCCTGCAGAACTCCAGCAGAACTGTGGCGAAACTCTGAGGAACTCTTGCACAGCAATCTCCATGGCCTTGGCAGCTTCTCTTCCTCAGACTAGCCTCCAAGGGGTTTATATAGCACTTCGTCCAATGCTATTTGTCCAAACTTATGCTAATTAGGACTTAGAAAGAAATATCAATGCTATTGGCCCAAAGTTATGCTAATTGGGTTGGACACATAGGAACTCCATTGATCAGTCTCTTTTTAATATTCATAGTAGATTCATTCATAAAAGAAGCCCCGAATTCCCATGCTGACAATGAATGAATGGATTGGGAAGCAGCTCAATGGCAAAGCTGCAAAAGCACTTGCCTCACATTCCCAAAGCCGTGGGTTCGATCCCTATTCCAAAAAGAAAAAGGAAAAACAAATTTCAGATAAATGAATGCGAGCAAAAAAGAAAATAAACTTTATCAATACATAAATCCTTACTCAAAAACATACCTGCTCTGCGTTCTGCAGGATCTCTGTCAAGTGACCCCTTATCCTTTATCTCTTTAAAATAATTTTTTTCCAAAAGTTGAGAGTCATGGACCATGTTTTAGTCATCTCTCTTCTGCACTTATGCCAGAGGTGAATGGGTGTGTGGGATGTAATCCAGCGGAGGACCAAGGACTGATTTGGGGCCAGCTTGGGAAGTATTGCTGGTGATATCACATAATAGCTAATTGTTAAAATTCAAATGCATGCATGAACAAATTATATAGAACCAAAAGATATTATGATTAAAGGTCAAGAAGAAGCAAATAGGGCTAGGATTGTGACTCAGTGATAAAGCACTTGTCTCGCACCTGTAAGGCACTGGCTTTGATTCTCAGTACCACCTAGGAACAAATGAATAAAATAAAGGTCCAGAGACAGCTACCTGAGCTCAGGCCCTTCCCAGATGCACTGGAGCTGGGGCCCAGAGTAGCCCAGTTTCATCCTGCCACCAGCAGAATTCTCAGGCCCAGCCCAGGACAACTTCCAATCAAGAGCTCATGTACAGTCCAGATCTGCCCCCACTGACCTGTGCAGGAGGCCAGACACAGGGCAGGCCCGCGTCCATCCCTCAACCAGGAGACCTGCCCCAAGCTCAGGTCCAGCCCAGGACTGCCTCCACACACCAGCAGACACCCGCTGGAGCTCAGGCTCTGCCCAGATCAGCTTCACCAACCTGCATGAAGCCCGGGAAAGGGTAGGTCTGGGTCCATCCCAACATTGGCTGACCCTCCCCGTAGCTGAGACTTGGCCCAGGACTGCCTCTGCCCACCGGCAGACCACTGCAGGACTCAGATCCAGTCCAGAGCCACCTCAAGGACCTTCTCAGGAGACCAGGCCCAGGGTAGCCTGAGTCCATCCACTCATCATGAGACTGGTGCCAGAGCTCAGGTTTGGCCCAGGACTGCCTCCACCCTCCAGCAGCTCCCTCCAGAGCTCAGGTTTGGACCAGGACAGACTGCCCACCAACAGACACTTGCTGGTGGCCAATCCCAGCCCACTTCAGCCTCGACATCCTGGCTGAAGCCCAGCGTAGGCCCTGGTGCTTCCCACCAAAAGCAGACCCCCACTGTATCTCAGGCTCCCACCAGATAAGCCTTGCAGATGTGCACAGGTGCCCAGGAAGAGGGTAGCCCTGGGAACATATGGCCACCACCAGACCACCACCTGAGCTCAGGCTCGGCCCAGGACTGACTCTGCCCACAGGCAGAATCCTGCCAGAGCTCATACAAGGCCCAGATCGGCCTCACTACCCTGCACAGGAGCCCAGGCAAGGGGAGGCCCTGTTCCATCCTGCCACTTGCAGAATCCCACCAGAGCTCCAGCTATGCCCAGATCCAACTTGATGACCTGGCAGGATGAAACCGAGTCCAGCATAGCCTATGTCCTTCCAGTCATGAAGAGACTGGTATCCGAAACTCAGGCTCCTCTCAGGACGGACTCCGCCCACTGACAGACAGCTACAGTAGTTCGGACCCAGCCCAAATCAGCAGTGCTGAAGGGTGTGGGAGCCTGGCCCATGGTAGGCCTGTGAACAATTGCCACAAGCAGGCACCAAGCAGACCTCAGGCCAGACACAGAACCACCTTCATCCACAGGCAGAGTTCAAACATGACCAAGATTGCCCTCCCTGATCTGCCCAAGAGCCCAGGCAAGGGGAGGCCCTGTTCCATCCCGCCACCTCCAGAACCCTACCAGAGCTCCAGCTCTGCCCAGATCCACCTCCATGACCTGGCAGGAGACAAAGCTTGAGCACAGGATAGCCCAAGTCCATCCAGTCACCATGAGACTGGCACCAAAGCTCAGGCTCCGCCCATGAATGACTCCACCCACTGACCCACAGTCACCAAAGTTCAGCCCCAGCCCAGATCAGCAGTGCTGACAGGTGTGGGAGCCTGGCCCAAGGTAGGCCTGGGACCAACTGCCATAAGAAGGCCCCAAGCACCGCTCAGGCCATACACAGAACCACCTTCAACCACAGGCAGAGTTCAAACATGGCCAAGATTGGCCTCCCTGACCTGAGCAGGAGCCCGGGCAAGGGGAGGCCCTGTTTCATCCCACCACCAGCAGAACCCCACCAGAGCTCCAGCTCTGCCAAATCCAACTCTATGTCCTGGCAGGAGATGAATCCCAAGCTCAGGGTAGCCCAAGTGGATCCAGTCACCATGAGACTGGCACCAAAGCTCAGGCTCCGCCCATGAATGACTCCACCAACTGACCCACAGTCACCAAAGTTCAGCCCCAGCCCAGATCAGCAGTGTGACAGGTGTGGGAGCCTGGCCCAAGGTAGGCCTGGGACCAACTGCCATAAGAAGGCCTCTAGCAGAGCTCAGCCCCCACATAGAACAGCTTCCCCCCACTGGCAGACACCTTCTGAAGCTCAGGCTCTTCTCAGATCAGCCTAAGTCCACCTGCGTGGGAGCCCGGGCATAGGTAGGCACACTCCCATCCCGCCAGTGTCCGACCCCCGCTGGAGCTTAGACTCGGCCCAATACCACCTCTATCTATGGTCAGATGCCTACCGGAGCTCAGGCCCGGGCCAGGACTCCCTCTGCTCACTTGCTGACACCTGCTGGAGTTCGGACTCAGCCCAGATTATCCTAGTACACCTGTGGGAGTCCAGATACAGGGTAGTAGGCCTGAGTTCATCCCGCCACTGCTAGATAGCAGGTGGAGCTTAGGCTTGGCTCAGGATTGCCTCAATGACCTGCATGGGAACCCTGGCAAGGGTAGGACTGGTTCCATCCCACCACCTGCACACCTCCACTGGAGCTCAAGGTTTGCCCGGGAGCCAGGCGGCAGGGAAGGCCCTGGTTCTACGTGCCACCACCTGATGTCTGTGGTTCTTAGGCTCGGCCCAGGACTGCTTCTCCTCATTGCCAGACATCTTTGAGAGCTCAGGATCGCCCCAATCTGCCAGGACGACCTGCAGTGGAAGCGCGGGCACAGGATAGCCACAGGTCCATTCCGCCACCAGCCAACTACTGAGGGAGCTGACGCCCAGATCTGATGCACCTGGCCGAACTCTCCTGAGCTGATGCTCAGGGTAAGCCCAGGACCATCCCGCCACTGGCTGACCTCTTCTGGAGCTCGGGCTCTCCCCAGATCAGCCTATTCCAACTGCGTGGGAGTCCTTACCTAGGGTAGGCCTGAGTCCATCAAGCCACCAGCAGACCCTCACCACATTTGAGGCTCAACCCAGAACTGCCTCAGTCCACTGGAAGACACTTCCGGAGCTCAGGCAGGGCCAGGACTGTATACACCCAATAGCAGACTCTCAATGAAGCTCAGGTCTGGCCAGATCCTCCTCGTGGATCTTCATGGCTGCTGGAACCCTAATTAGGTATGGGTCCATCCCACCAGGGGAAACCCCCCAGGAGCTTATGAATAAATAAATAGCTAAAACAATAAAGGAAGGAAGAAAAAAAGAAAGAAAACTAGCTTATTCATATTCTTAATTTTATTCGCAATTACTTTCAGTACGACTTCATGGATTGACTCTATTCTTCAATGCAAGGGACTTACTTATATTACCTAAGCTTGATTTGGGTGGCCCAAATGTTATCCATGTAAAAATAAAACATTAGGCAAGGAAGAAGAAGATGGCGGTGAATGGAGTGAGACACCCCTGTGTACCGCGTCACTGCGCAGGTAATTAGTGAGTTTAGAACCGCCGGAAGCTATCTTGTTTGGAATGTCCAGCAAAATTGGAGTGCACTGAAACCTAGAGGAAGAATTTCAACACTGGAGGATCAGTTATTGCGGCTCAATTGCGAGTGAACCGTGTGCCCCGAGATTCAGGCTGATTGATCAGAAGCTCGCCAGCAGCCGGAGCCTGCTCCATCCATGTGCCAGCAAAGCAGAGAAATGATTCTACAGATTCTGTGGGGTCCTGCTAACTGTGCACTCACAGTGCTCCAGGCTGAGTTCTGAGATTGAGACGGGGGAGAGAAATGGTCCAGATCTGCCTTCCACACCAGACACCCCACAGAGGAAGCCAGCCGCCACCATATTGGGGAGCTGATGTCACCATCACCAGCTTCTGACAGATCAGATCCCATCGCAGCAAGTTCAGTGATAGAACAGGTGTGTGACATTCAGCCCTTCTCCCATACAGAGGGGAAATCGCATTAAATCTCTCCCCGGCTTTCCGTGGGCATGAATATCAGAGTGGGCATGAATATCAGAGGCGTGGGGAAAGGTAAAGACACCTGACCTCCAACTCCCACCTCCCACCAGGGGCAAAAAGGAAACCAGCTCTGGGGGGAGTGGCTATTGGAGGGAATGGAAAGAATAGGGGGCCGATTCCCAATTCCTGCACTCCACATCTAGGAAACTGCAGGCCCAGAGTGTAGCTTGAACTGTGGAGAGGTACCACACTGGGGAAGGCCTGGCTGGCGGGAGAAGCGAGGAGGCTAGAGGCCAGGAACAACCCTAAGTGAATAGGATTGGAGAGACACCAGGTGGGGGAGGGGGGAGCCACCTCATATGGATTGTTTCCTACAGCCCGAGGGCAAAATCTTGCTCCTGAAAGCACAGCTCCACCTACTGGAAGTGAAGAAAATAGAAGCCTAACGGTGCATTTTTTCTTAATTGTAATTTTTATTTTACTTATTTTATTATTATTTTTTATCATTTCTCTTTTCTTTTCTATTTTTTTCTCTTTCTTTCTTCTCTCCCTCTCTCTTTCTTGGTTTTCTTCCTTACCTTTTCCCTATCTTTCCTCCCAAGCATGACCACTCCGATTACCTGTAATTTACTAAATGCAAATAGATGAATGTTACCAGAGAGTCTATAGTCCGCCTAAGCCCTTAACTACCCCCAAGTACTCCTGTCTATTCTCTTGTTAATATCTTCCTGCATTTGAGTAACCCCCCCAAAGAAGCTAAGGTATACTAACCTCCATACCATCACATCTCCCGACCTTAACATAAAATCCTAAGTTCAAACTTCAATTCTCTATATGACATCAAAATCTGTAGGCCTTTAATGAAACTAATGAATTTACTTTAAATCAAACGTCTCTAAACATTGTCTCCCAATACAAAGGAGAGATCTCGGAGCTATACAAAACCAAAACAAATTTATAGGAGAAAATAATAACACAGCAGTCAAACAGAGCTGGAAAGAAACATGAGCACCATGAAAAAAGGAAGAAAAGTAACACAAACAATGCAGGACAGCTTAAATTTACAGGAGATGCTATATGCATCAGAAAAATGGTCAAATAAAGAACTCAAGGCATACCTGACTCAGAT